AATATGTTTGGTATCAAGAATAGTAAAGGACACTGGAGGCTATTAATATAATGTAAGACAAACTAGATATCGCTACAAGACGATGAGGAGGAGGACTTTCTCAAAATGTCGCAAAACTTTTGCAACACCCGGTATGGTTAGTTTATTTTACCCTGAAACTAGATTCCCAGAAATCATTTCGACACGTGGGAAAGCCCATCGTCAAAAAATGATTCAAAAATCCGTTAAGTTTACGGAGACCATTTCTTGTATCAACTAATCAAAATATTTTAAGACAAAAAACTATCCGAAGCGAATGACTGGCCCATAAGCTATATTGCACGACAAAATTATTTTGTTTGAACCATAAATGGAATAGAAAATAAGTGATTACTGGGCTGAAAATAGGTCGAAAAATCAGTCATATCGTATTTTGTCGACGCTACAAAGATTTATAATCCGACTGAACTGAATTTTTCACCAATTATTCTCCCATGTATGATTTATCGTTGGTCATAGCGCCGTGCTGCATCTGTGAACACAGATCGAACGAGAGGCATCCTGAAAAACCAGGCTTCTGTCCCAGAATCTCTAGTTTTGAGAATTTGAGGACATTTTGATGCAGAACTAAGGTAATATTCGAATTCAGCTCGTCAAACTGCATCGAATCATATATAACAGTAAGTGTTTCTGAAAAACAAAGTCGGTGCTTAGGCGGTGACAAGGTTTTGAAAATCATCCTTTCCATATTTTTTAAACGCTACAAACAGCTTAAGTGCGATTGATATCAAACTTTCGCTTATTATTCCCCCAAATCTGGTGCATCGGTGACCATAGCACCACTTCGTACCCATAATCACCACTGGTGCTATGGGTCTCCCGAAAACCAAGGTTTTTGCCCCCAAATCCCTATTTTTGTAAAGAAGACATCATTTTGATGCAAAGTCAAGGTGATACTCGGAATCAGCTCATCGAGTTGCATCGAACCATATATAATAAAAAGCATTTTTTTGAAAAAAAGTTTTTGACTATTATGCTAAAAATGTTCCTACAAATTGGCTTTCTCGATTTTGTAAACGTCACAACCAGCTTCAATCGAATTCAGTTCAATTTTCGAGTGAATATTCCTCTATGTAGAATCTCTCCTTGTCTATGCTGCCAAAAGGCAACAGTGAACGCCGACGAAGTTACGGATTTTCCAAAAACCCTGGTTTTTTAACTCTAAATGCCTATTTTCCCACAAAATAACTTCCTAGCGAAAAACTAAGTCGGTATTCGCAATCAACGCGTGAAACTACGTCGAATGATGTGCGAAACATTGTGTTTCATAACAAAAAAGTTTTTTCGAAAATCGTGACAAGGGTTCCCTACGGATAATTTTTGGGAAAATGTTTTTTTTAAGAAATGGTTTATTTTCTTAAAGATGATTTTCTAAGTGATATATAATCATCTCTGCGCAATAAAAACCCATTGCCGAGCACGAAAATTCCATGTCCGCCTGGAATGCGAAAGTAGCCCACTATGCCACACCAATTGCAGAGATTGCCCTTACTTGATTTCCTTGCAATTGATTCTCCTGAACTTCTAGCTATTATTACGACAACGGCTGCTACTACTGTTACTATCACTAATAATGCATGCACATCCTCTTGGCGTGGCATTACAATACTTCAACATGAAATTAATATCCCCGACATGTCACCTTATGTACAATACACATATACATATGTAGCTATCGCTACTACAACTCGAATTACATTTGCTATTCAAGAAGACAATGGTTTTGTAGCTCTCGATGATATTTCTGTTCGAGACACTGCAGCGCCATCAGTTGAAATACTTCTTAATGGTGGTTTCGAAATGAACTCTCTCGCATACTGGCTTTATTGTAATCCAGGTGGTGCAACACAAGCAGGAATGGTCACGCAAAATTCGGATTATTACCCGTATTATAGCTATACATATATAGCTCATTCTGGAAATTGTTTTTATTTGGATGGTGCTGTCGGAGCTGCTGATTATCTCAGTCAAACATTTTCGACAGTTATCGGTCATACATACACGATTTCCTATTGGTTAGACAATGAAGGCAGTGGTTCATCGAGTAGTATTGATGTTTTACTCAGCATTTAACACGACTCGAAAACTCTAAACATTTCAATGAGAGTGTCTTTTGATGTTCTGTTAATATTGCTATCGTATGTGTCTTGTAGCAGTCACGTTGAGAAAAAAGGCTCAAGATTCTACTATATATTTCTAGTTGCAAGATTTTAAGCAATGTTTCACTCATCATGCCAAAAGTAAATAAACTTAGAAAGATGAGCTTTGAAAGTTGTTCTTATTTCATTTTGGCATTGCTGTTGTTAACATCTTTTCATTTCTATCTTTTTAAAGGACATTCCCATGCAAATTAATGTACAATTGAAAGTGGAATCTTATTAGAAAAATATACAGCCAGAAATTATGCAAACGAACAGAAGTATTGAGAGAATAGTGGAGTCACCGATCATTCTAGGACACTCGTTTGATATAAGGCACAATTCCCCATCTTTTCATATGGAATTCATTGCTTTCTGTATTCAATTTCATGAAATAGCATGGTTTTTAAAAGCACATGCTACGAAGCATCGTAATTAAAGCATATTTGAAGTATTTCTATTCGTATACTACGTGGCGTTTCGCTATAGTAAACGAGCACAAAATCAGGAAATCAGGACATCGAGTTGACTGTAGTGACCTCCGCTGTGATATATAAATTCGTGATTTTGCTCTTCGAAGTTTTCAATCCAAGACTTGAAGAATAATTCAATGTAGAATGACTGAATTTGCGCACATCTATAATGAATTAATAATTGAGTTGCAATATCTCCAAAACTGATTTCAGTTTTGGTTCCTAAATATTCGTACCAATTCCAATTTCAGATTCAACTATTTCTATCCAATTTCCAATCCAGATCTAACCAATACAATTGAAGAAAATTACTAAAAAAGAATGCAATCATGTTGTAACTCTCCGCTATCGGTTGGGTTGTTGTGGATTAAAAGAAGAACTACACATTCACACTCCATAGATGTCAATGGCGGCTGGAAATCACACGCTGTCGCGCTGCGCACCTTTCGAAAAATTGGTACCACGATGCGGTGGTTTCGAAAAAATTGATGCCGCGCCGCGCCGGAAAACAGTTAGCTGCGACGACATCAAAAAATGCGGTTTACCAAATTTCTATGGTTTTTTAGACTCAACCATGTTTATTCCTTCATGAATCCGGGAAGAATCTTGTTAGGTTTTTCAGGATCCTTCGACGAATCTCAGTTTCTTCTGCTTGCAGGGTTTCCTATGGTTAAAAAAGATCCTTTCGACGATTTGTTTGAATTCCTGCCAGAATATTTCCGAATTTAACAATTGATAATTCTTTAAGAATACACTCTTGACCCTACCAAGGATCTCCCGATGAATAATAGATAGGATACTGTGAAGATTTTATCAAGTTGTAGTCGGAATCTGTTCTGCATACTGATACGAGGGTCCGATCAACAACTGCAGTACGACTCGATTTATGAGTCCTATAAATCTTATAGTATAGGTCAAGCATATCTTTTATCCTATTTTATTTTTGAAAGTTATCCTACTTCACTGTGGTTTTCTCATAAGTGGTACCACCATTCTTCTGGTTTTGAAAGGAAATATAAGTGAAATACAATAATCTTACAAAGGAAAGAACAGAATGTATGATTAACCTAGATTGTAAGATTCATAAGAATTTCACACCGAATCAAACCTCAGCACCAAAAACAAAAGCTAATTCAGAGGAGAATTCTCAAAAGAAGACAACAGAAGAGTGTGTAGTTGGGTTAAGACAGGATGAACCCTGCTCATCCTACGAAAATTCGTAACATTCTCTGCCCACAAGTCTTGTTCAGGACTTACAATTTCCTGAGCTGATTCCTGATTTTAAATATAGTGGTAAGCCACTTAGGATATTGATGCAGGTAATTTCCATTTTCGCCGAATTTTTTTTTCGCCGACGACGATTTTCGCCGAATTCCAACTTCACCGAAAGGATCTTTTTTAACCATAGGAAACCCTGCAAGCAGAAGAAACTGAGATTCGTCGAAGGATCCTGAAAAACCTAACAAGATTCTTCCCGGATTCATGAAGGAATAAA